AATAAAAAATACGATTTAATATAATATATATTATATAAATAATTTGCATCAAATTTCATATATATTTATACATACATTATGATTAGTAAATTTAGTTTTTAGTTAATAACAATATCACTTGATCAATACAAATTAATACAGAAATTTAAAAGATGTAAAACTTTATAAATTACTAGCAGTAGAGCCGAGCGTTGCCCGGGGATGTAACAGTAAGAGATAGATCAAGTATCGACCATCATAAAAACTGAAAAATAAAATTGACAAAGATTATTGTTTAAGGTTGATGGACACGCATGCCTTAATCATTTTTTTTTTTTTTTTTTTTACGAGTTGGTCAAACCCAAACTCAAACAAAAACATTTTTTTCAATCGTTATGAGTCTACCGATTGAATAGAATTTCATTATAAACAATTGTCTTGTAAATGGAATTTTTAAAGCATTCTGAATGTAAAAATAAAGAAAAAAGAGTGCAAGACAATAACAAACACTACCTGCCAAAAAAAAGTGAAGCTTTGTTGAAATCGGTTGAAAAATGTAGGAAATCAATCCCATATATAAACGAACATACACAAACAACCTGGGTTTTATAATAAGTATAACACGATATGAGTTGCCCCCTTTCATTCTCGCGATGCCTCTTAATCGTGTTTTCAAATTGATTTCGTGCAAAACAATTGTGTTTTTCCAATTTTTGGCGCTGTCAGAACCACCGCAAGGTAATTTTACGTAGTCCTGTGAAGTTTTGTTGAAATCAGTTGAAAAAAGGTAGGAAATCCGATCCAATATATAAACGTCCACACACACACACACACGCGCGCGCGCGCGCACACACACACACACACACACACACACACACAACCTGGGTTTTATAATAAGTATGATTCTAATTAAAATTTAAAAACTGAAACAATTGTAAAAATTCATTATTCATCGAAAAACTTTTTTCTTAAGAAAATAGTACCCATAATGCATCTTATTAATAAAAGCAATTAAAAGCTTTTTCTAATTAAATAATGCCTTAGTTGTATTGCTTTTTTTCATTTTACGATTCAGGGCAGATTTTCGGTAACTGGCAGTAATCTTTTACAATGAGAAATTGATCATTTAAAATTTCCAAGGACTTAGAACTAACATAAACATTAAGCTTTACAAAAAAGAATTTTTTGATATTTCATAAAATTAAATAAGTAGACGGGAGGACAGATGTAAAAAGAAAACATTTTTACAAAGATTTTCTAAAAAAGAAATGATTCTAAAATAATTTAATTCATTTGTGAATAAGCCTTAAAAGTTTTATTAAAATTTGGCAATTATTTGATTTTTAAAAGAATTTTCAAATCAATGTGACTGCGAAAAGACGCTAAGCTTTCTCATACAAATTTATAATTACCCATTGATGCAAGAAAAAAAAAATCAACCTAAATTTTGAAGGTTTAAAAAAGGCATAAAAATATAATTTAATAATGAAAATAATGTATTTCCTCCCTCTCTTCCTCCTCCTCCTCCTCCTAATAATAATAATAATAATAATAATATAAAGGTTATGAGAATAAAACGTATTTGTTAATTTTTTTTCATCGTATAGAATCCCTGACAACCGGACTAAAAAGGCCTTCCGGATATGAGGAATTGGTTACAAAGTCCGGATATGAGAGGTTATATTTAGATTAAAATAAAAGAACTGAAATTAGTTTTAACATTTATTTTCAATGTTTTATAATAAACAAAATAAGCTAATGGTGAGTAAAATATAACAGCATTGATTTCAAGGAAAAAGAAATAAATTATGTAATGTTAATGAAAATTCATTAAATTAATTATGCCACGTATGCAAAACAAATAATGTCACGAGGATTTTTTAATCACTGTTGCATGATGATTCTTTCTCTTCTAATGTCATTCTCAACTTTTTCCGCATTTCGTTTTGCTTTTGTTCTGTGTGCGTTATTGCAATCGTCATAGTTGAATGCTGGTTTTCTTTCCATAAAACTGACAACCTTTTCAATAGCTTTTTCAATTTCATTCTAGGTTTCATCACAGTCATGCATCTCATCGCTATTTTGTTGCAGATGTGTCTCGTTGTCATCCTTTCCTCTTATTCCCATCATCTTTTGAACCAATACAAGCCATTAGGGTGAAATAAGCATAAGATGTTATCCAAAGTAAATTTCCTAAAAAAACAGAAATTTCAAATCAGTTACATATTACCCAAATATACATATCAAAATCATGTTCGGATATGTGAGATTCCGGATATGAGGGATTCCGGAAATGAGGGATTCCGGATATGAGAGATTCCGGATATGAGGCACTTCGGGTAAGAGCTATTCCGTATATGAGGGATTCTACTGTATTTTGTACAGCAAAAACGTAAAAACAAACGTAGGAAAAATATTCCTTAAACTCTTACACAAATACTTCCCGGAATCAAGCACCATACACAAAATATTCAACAAAAACACAATAAAAATCAGCTACAGTTGCACCGAGAACATGGCACAAATAATAAAAAAGCACAACAGGAAAATTATCAACAAACCACACGAACAAATTAAACCCACGTGTAACTGCCGAATAAAGAACGAATGTTCCTTAAACGGTAATTGTTTACAAGACAATGTAATATACCAAGCCACGGTAAAATCACCAAATAACGAAGAAAAAGTATACATAGGAGTAACTGAAGGACCCTGGAAACAAAGAAATTATGCACACAAAACATTTTTCACAAATAGTAAATATGCGAACAGCACAATGCTTTCTAAGTATATCTAAGAAGTTAAAAATAATATGCACATCACACCAAAAATATCTTGGAAAATAAGGAAAAGATCATAAGTCTACAACAACCAATCAAAATCTTGCAAACTATGCTTGGAGGAAAATTAGCTATCATTGCCTTGTCAGACCAAGATAAATTATTAAATAAAAGATCCGAACTCATCTCAAAATGCAGACATGAAAACAAATTTTTACTACGTTACTTAAAAATCGAAAACTGAAAAAAATAAAATAAAATAAAATGAAATAAAAATAAATAAATAAACAAACAAAATGGCAATAAAATAAGTAAAATAAATTAACCCAAACAAATTACCAAATCACACTCGTTAGAATAAACGAAATAGAATAAATAAATAAAAAATAAAAAACAAAATCAATGAACCCAAATAAATAAAGTAAATAAACTAACAAACCATTATGACCAAAATATTAGTTAGACAATAAAAATCAAAAAATAAATCTGACGAAAAACGAAGCTATAACTGTTATATAACAATAAAATATAATAAAAAATACTACGTTACTTAAAAATCGAAAACCGAAAAGAATAAAAATATACAGTATAATAAATAAATAATAATAAACGAGTAAAATAAATTAATCAAAATTCATCCAAATAAATAAACTAACAAACCGATCCCGATAAATTAACCGTTAGAAAAAACAAATAAAGATAATCCAAATAAATAAATGAAGTAATAAGCAAGTTAAAAACTGTTCGCGCCAAAATAATAGTTAGAATAAACTACAACAATCAACCCCAAAATTGAATAAATAGCTTTAATTATCTTCCCAAACCAAAACAAAACAATTAAATAAGCGATATAAACAAATTTATACTTCGTTAATAAAAACACCGATTAAAATAAAAAATAATAAATAAATAAATAAGATAAGAAATAAAAAAAATAAAAGTAAAAAATACAAATAAAAATAAATAAAAACAAGCAAAATAATTTAACCCAAATAAATAAACTAAAAAACGACTTCCGGTAAAATAACCGCCAAAATGGACTACTGACAATGCACCACTGACCCATATATATATATATATATATATATATATATATATATAGCCGATAAAAATAACAGCACTCGCGTCCTGACGATTGCAGCTAGCATGAAACATACTGTCGCCTCTAAGTGTTGGATTTTCTATATTCACTTTTATATATATATATATATATATATATATATATATATATATATATATATATATATATATTCGGAAATAAACACTTTTATTGCGCAGGAGGGTGTCGTCATTCCATGTAATAACTCAGGTCATTGGGTAGTTTAATGTTTAAAACATCATACCATCCTCCTCTGTCCTCGACCCCGTCAGAGCTGATCAGGATCCGACGCTAAATTCTGTACCACGCTATGCGATTTGATTTTTATAATTGTCTTCATGCCGACTTGTACTCGATACTAGCAGGATACACATAGGGAAGCGCCATAGCGCTATATATATATATATATATATATATATCAATGTGCATACGATCAGATCATATTGAAACACTGGTTCTTGTTTGTTCGCCGAAGTTAAGCAGTGTCGAGCCGGATTAGTACTTAGATGGGTGACAGCGAAAACCGGAGACAAAACCGAGTAAAACTCACTTGTTATGGAAGCCACTGAAGCAATGCCTCGTGTTGTTGAGAGGTTTGGCCCTAATATTCTGCAGGGCAGTCAATGGGGATTAAAGGAGGATAATATATAAATGCGTGTGTGTGTACGTGTGTATTTTAAATTGAAGATTTGTTTCATATAACAAAACAAAATCGGTAAAAAAGAAATGATCGTTGAATGATCGATTCGTTTTTTACGGCTTATCAACCTTTTGCAGGTTATTTCAAACCAGAAATTATTTTTAGAGTGTAAGGTTTTTTTTTTTTTTTACATAATAATGATTTGCTGATACAAGTCTTAATAATTAGCCTATAGCTGGATGTGAGAAGAGGCGAATTTCTTAAGGGTATTTGCGTCTAAGTGAATATAACGAACACAGGTGGAATTGGAACCCGACACTTCGATTTCCAATTCCGAATCTTTATCCATTACACCACCCGCACACCCAAGCATACAGCCCTTGGTATTCCCAAGCGGTCACTGATCAAAGCTCATCGTTGCTTAACTTCAGTGATCGTACGAGAAATCGACTCTCTGATTAACAATTCCGAACCATTATCCATTATACCACCCGCGCATCGAAGCACCTGCTATCCCAAGCGGTTACCCATCTAAGTACTGACCAGGCTCGACGTTGCTTAACTTCGGTGATCGTACGGGAATTCGACTCTCAAATAACAATTCTGAGTCATTATCCATCACACGACCCGCACATCTAAGCCAGCACCACCTGGTATTCCCAAGCGGTTACCCGTCTAGGTATGGACCAGGCTCGACGTTGCTTAATTTCGGTTTAAACGTTAATGATCTTTTTTTTTTTTTTATTCTCTTTCTGATTTATTTTCGATTCAGTTATTTTTCTCATCAAATCTTTGCCACCCCGGCCTACCTCTCTCGTTCCTTCTCTTCCTCCTATACAGAACTCCGCCTATTCCGAAATTCCGTTCAAATACGAACTGTGCAGTCGTAGCAATAAAAGACAATACTTAGGAAGCCATAATAATAGCTTTAGTTATTTATTTTCGTTTTTTCTTTTTTTTTTCTTCTGTGGTATCATGACGCGAGGCAAAAATGGAGTCTGTACAGTCAGCTGGAGACGAAGATAAGAGGTGGGTGGAGGAAACAGAAAACAATGTATTTATAATTGCAAACAAAAAAGTAGGCAACCGAAAGAGACAGGAAGTGAAGAACAAGCAGAATGATGCTAGGCCAAGCAGAGAATGCTGACTGACGACTTAACAGTAATTGCTGGTTAGCGATGTTGCCGAACACAGCACACCGCCATTTTTTTTCCTTTCTTCTCTTTTTGTCTTTTATTTTTGCCTGCAGATATCATTTCATTTTGCCTGCAATTGTTCTAGTCGGATACTTTTGCAGTGAGGGAATCCACATATAATCTCTCGACCTTAAATATTACTGCATTTTAAACACTTTATCCAGTTTCCAAATGGTGTTTAAATATCTAGATATTGAACTTCTTTTTCTTGACGTTGACGATCATGACTCTCCAAAATTTCTTTCTTTTTCAACTTTTAGTAAATTTTGTCGTTTTGCTATCTCCTCTAAACCCTGTTCTGCCAACCATTTACACAAGCTCCTTCTTCTTCTATGTGCTGTGTTCCTTCAGGATGTAGACAGTCATTTATCATCTGATTTCCTGTCGTTTTTAAATTATTAGTAATTTTTGTCTCTCCACTAATTCTCCTAATCCCTGTTCTGCCAACCATTTTCAAGCTCCTTCTTCTTCTATGTGATGTGTTCCTTCAGGATGTAGACAGTCATGGCTCTCCACTTTTCCTGTCGTTTGGTGGAATTATTAGTAATTTTTGTCTCTCCACTAACTCTCCTAATCCCTGTTCTGCCAACCATTTACACAAGCTATTCTTCTTCTATGTGAAAAGATTTCAGGAAAAGACAGTCATGGCTCTCCACTATTTCCTGTCGTTTGGAATTATTAGTAAATTTGTCTCCACTAACTCTCCTAATCCCTGTTCTGCCAACCATTTACACAAGCTCTTCTTCTAATAGCCATGATGTGTTCCTTCAGGATGTAGACAGTCATGGCTCTCCACTATTTCCTGTCGTTTGGAATTATTAGTAAAGCTTGTCTCTCCACTAACTCTCCTAATCCCTGTTCTGCCAACCATTTACACAAGCTCCTTCTTCTTCTATATGCTGTGTCCCTTCAGGATGTAGACAGTCATGGCTCTCCACTATTTCCTGTCGTTTGGAATTATTAGTAAAGCTTGTCTCTCCACTAACTCTCCTAATCCCTGTTCTGCCAACCATTTACACAAGCTCGTTAAGGTGGTGATGTGCTGTTTTCATTACGTTGGCATTTTTTCTTCTATGTGCCGTGTCCCTTCAGGACGTAGGCGATCATAGCTCTCCACAATTTCGTATCCTTTTTTATTTTTTTAAATAAATGTTGTTCCACTTGAGGTCTGGGTTAAGCTTAATTCGAAAAAGTCTCTCAAGGCACGGGGCCTCCGTCGGAGAACAAATTCTCCTCCCGCTTGGTGTCAAATTTTCCAAGCATTCTTTTCTCATCATGGTGCCCTTAAAATGCAATATTCTCTTTCTGATGTTATGTAAAAGTGTCCATTTTGTTTCCATTTTCTTTAAAACTTCGTCGTTGCTCATATTTTCTGTCCATGTTATTCTCAGCATCCTTCTGTAGGACTAAGTCTCTTCTTCATTTGTACGTAGATTCGAAAATTTTTCCTGTCTCTTAATACTTTGCTTATCTTTTAGAAAGCATCTTTCGCTTTCCAAATGCGTCTTAGAATGTTGGTGTCGCATTTTCCTTCCTCTGTTAAAAGGCTTCCCAGGTATTTAAATTTTTGTGCTTGTTTGATTTTGGTATCCCCAATTTCTAATTTGCATTTTAGACAGTCCCATTTGCTAACAACCATCTAAACTATCGATTGTTGCTTAGTCCTTTCTTCTCGCTTTCCTTCTGCAGGATTTCTTGTATTTTCCTTTCTGTGTCTGCCAGCAGCATTTTAAAAAAATCAGTTCATACTAAGCAAGGTAACAATGACAGTAAGATGCAAAGTGCTATTGGAGAGAAAGAAAAATGAAAAAAAGATTTCAGAAGGAAACAGAAACCCAATCCTGAACAGGAAACAAGGGATAATCCTCTACTACTGTTCAAAAGATCAGGGAGGAGTGTGACCCGGGCGATAGGCAAACCTATCTATTCCTATCTGTATATCTTATGTTGTTAAGATTGTAGCCGCCAATAATGCACCCTGATAGGATTTCTAATTCTCTCAGAATCTCCTCACTGAGTCCGACGAGAAGACACATCCTTGTCTTACACCCTTTTGTATTTTTCTATATTTACTGAAATCATAGTCTATGCGTATGGCATAAAATTTAACGTTAGCGTGTTGTTTAGGAACCAATTTTAGCAGATGGGATAAGAATGATTTCGCACAAAACAACAGCATTATTTATCAAGTGCTCCAAGAAGAAAGGCTTAAGATAAACATTTCCAAAATAGAAACTATCTTCTAGAAATGGGATACGAGCAGTGATGGCACATACCCAGAAAAATTCAAAATATGGAATTAATAAAGACTTTCTTTCTTTCTTTTTATGTGCCGTGTCCGTTCAGGTCGTGGGTGATCATGGCTCTCCACTTCCCCCTATCCTTTGAAGCTCTCAATAAGTTTCGTCCCTCTGCCACCTCCCCCAGACCACGTTCAGTCATCCACTTGCTTAAGCCCGCCAGGTATGTCATGCGTTGTTTTCCCTTGTCTCTCTTTCCCTCTATTCGACCTGTGAGTATCAGATTCTCCAGGCCCTCCTTTCTCATTACGTGTCCCAGATATTTCAGCTGTCTCTTCCTGATGTTAAGTATAAGCCTCCTCCTTGTTTGCATCCTCTTCAAAACCTCATCGCTGCTCACACGCTCGGTCCAGGATATCCTTACCATCCTTCTGCATGTCCGTTACCTCGAGTCTCTTCTTCGTCTTTGAGGAGACCTTCTGACATTCGCTGCTGTAACGGAGGACAGATGTCATATTGGGCAGTCGAAATAAGGGGTTTTCTTTTGCGAATAACAGTTCTTTATTGCTATAAAGCCGAAATAGTAATACACACATGATTCTTTTTGGCCATTTTTAATAGTAGTCGGGAAGGTGGAGTAATGGATAGCGGATCGGATTGAGGAATCGAAGAGCCGAGTTCGAATTCCAGTTGGAATTACGTACTAATACCCTTGGGAAAGGTACGAATCCTCTTCTCAGCCCATAGGGTAAATAGCAGGATAGGCTGGGTTCTATAGCCTGGGGTGGCAACCGCTCTAGGAGAAGGAAAAACTCTGAATTCAAAATCGGTCTGGATAGTGTTGGGCTCCGTCAGGCTATCTTGCCCAAGAAACACCACTTCTACAGTAGCTGCAATACACATGGTGCCCCTACGGAGGCAGCGTGGCACCGCCGCTCGTTCGAGCGAACCGTTGCTCTGATCCCGCGGTTCCTTTCGTACTGGACGGGATAGCCGTGGCCACGGCCGACGTAACACACGTGCCGATCGGTAGGATAAAACTAACCTGTCTCACGACGGTCTAAACCCAGCTCACGTTCCCTGTCAGTGGGTGAACAATCCAACGCTTGGCGAATTCTGCTTCGCAATGATAGGAAGAGTCGACATCGAAGGATACAAAAAGCAACGGGTCACGGGATAAAAAAAAAAGTAGTTGATGATGTCGTTCATTTTATCAGGGCGGAGAAAGGAAAAAGATGAAGAAGGATACCATTTCTCTATTTCAAATCGTTTCTTTATTAATATTATCCCCCCTCTACTGGGCTTACGGCCATATCACATTGAAACACCGGTTCTCATCCGATCACCGAAGTTAAGCAACGTTGAACCTGGTCAGTACCTAAATGGGTGACGGCACAGGAATACCATATAAGCTTGGATGTGCGGGTGGTGTAATGGATAAACGCTTGAAATGAGAAATTGGTGAGCCAAGTTCGAATTTCAGTCGAGTTCGTTACCTTCACTTAGATTCAAATACCATTTCCCGCTCAGATATGGGTTAAAAAGTAAAAAAATTATTAGAAAATCATTATTATCTCCAAAAAAGTTCTTATAATCCAAAAATGTCGCGGCTTTAAATAACCTCAAAAAGGTAGATAAACCGTAAAAAAACAAATCAATCAAACCCTTTCTATTGACACCGGAGTAGAACCTGTGTGTGAATGCTTAGTAATCACTGACGAATTCCGCATCTAAAGCCGTATCCTTTATTGGTCATATAATCTTTCTTTAAACTGAATCTGGGTGAAATGTCTTTTATTCGTTCCAGCCGTGGTCTTTTTTGAAGGTTCTTTTTGTTTAACCGGTACCCCCTCAAGCAAGGCAATAAAGCCACTAAGACACAAGTGGTTACAGGGTGTGGAGGAATTAGGAGTAGAAACATTATTAATGAGCAGAAAGAGAAAAAAGTAACCAGGAAGAAAGAAGATAGCGATTGATAATGCATTTAAATTTTTGAAGATTAAAGTGGACTGAAAAGCATGGAGCCGGAAAAAAGTTCCACAAGTGAGAAGTGCGAGAAAAGAAACTGTTAGCATAGAACTTACGGCTACAACTAGTAAATTGATGAAATCTCGACGCCAGTATAATACAGCGCTTAAATTTATAAAGACTAAGTACCATAGCGAAGAGCTCAGCCGAAAAAATTACCATGAAAGAATTTATAAAAAATGACACAGAAAGGCAACCTTACGATGGTGAGAAAGTGACTGAAGCCAAGCTGCCAGATCAGGACCAATAATATTGCTGATTCTTCTTTGGATCTTATCAAGAAGCTCCAGGTAAATAGCAGAGGCACCGGACCATATATAGCAAACATATTCTAAGCATGGACGAATGGTAGACTTATAGATATGTAAGACAGATTCTGGAACGAAAATTGTCTCGTACGACACAATGAACCGACTTTCTTAGCAGTTAACCTAGCAATGGATTCAATATAGTCTTTCCACTTCATATTAGCTAAGAACGTTAGCCCGAGAAGGTGCAACGTGTCACCGTCTTGGAGGCTAGCATCAGCCATGTTGATGGAGGGCAAAAAAGGGGTCTCTCAGATGATTAATGGAGAGAAGTTTAGTTTTGGAGATGTTAAAATTGACAAGCCATCTTTTCCCCAAGTTAATGATGGACTTGGGGTTGTTTTGGACAACAGCTGCCATTTTGACCTTGTCAGGCTGATCAGCCTTATGATCAAGGAAGAAGTAAATGGTAGTGTCCTCAGCATAGATGCAAAGTTGAGAGTTGATGTGATCGGGAAGGTCGATGATGAAAATGAAAAACAGACTAGCACCAAGGATGGTACATTCTTTTGTTTAAATTCTTTTTGAATATATTCCAATGTGAGGAGGCTGACTGTGGTGAAGGCATGAGAGAAAGGAAGATTGTGTTGGTCCAGGCTTTTAGCTGAAAAGATAAACAGAAAAAGAAAAGGAAATTAGGAAAAAAAAAACAGGAAAAAAAGTGAAAGAATATAGAAAAAAAGAGGAGGTAAAAAAAAGAAAGAAATGAAGAAGACGATAACGAATAAGAAAATAATTAATTGAAAAAAAGAAAAGAACGGTTTTTTTCTCAAAATGGAATAATTTAGGGATTAGACTAGGATAAGATAAATAACAGACAAAAGCAAAGAAAATGAAAGGACAACATAAATGTGGAGAAATAGAAGAAAAACAGTAGTAGTAGTAGTAGTTGTTGTATTAGTAGTAGTAGAAGTAGAAGAGGAAGAAAACACTCATGATATAGATGATGATGATCACGAAAAAAAACTGGTGAAGTAGAAGAGGATGATGATGATGACGAAATTCTATGAAAAACTTTGGAAGTAGATGATGATGATGATGATGATGATGAAACTCTATGAAGAACTGATGCAGTAGATGATGATGATGATGATGATGATGAATCTCTACGAAAACCTTGTGAAGTAGATGATGATGATGATGAAACTCTATGAAGAACTGATGCAGTAGATGATGATAATGATGATGATGATGAATCTCTACGAAAACCTTGTGAAGTAGATGATGATGATGAAACTCTATGAAGAACTGGTGCAGCAGATGATGATAATGATGATGATGAATCTCTACGAAAAACTTGTGAAGTAGATGATGATGATGATGAAGAAAATGAAAAACTTGTGAAGTAGATGATGATGATGATGAAACTCTATGAAGAACTGGTGCAGTAGATGATGATAATGATAATGATGATGATGATTCTCTATGAAAAACTTGTGAAGTAGATGATGATGATGAATTTCTATGAAAAATTTGTGAAGTAGATGATGATATTAAATCGTTAAGAAGAAACTTGTTAAACAAATGATGATGGTGATGAATTTCAGAGAAGAAACTTGTGAAGTAGATGATGATGATGATGATGATGAATCTCAAAGAAAGAAACTTGCGAAGTAGATGATGATGATGATGATGATGATGATGGTTATGATGATGTTAAATGGTTAAGAAGAAGAGACTTGTGAAGTAGATGATGATGATGGCGTTACATAGTTGAGAAGAAGAATAATTTTGTCAAGTAGATAAAGATGATGATGTTAAATCCCTAAGAAGAAAAACTTGTGAAGTAGACGATGATGATGATGATGATGATAAATCGCAAAGAAGAAGAAGAAGAAGAAGAAGAAGAAGAAGAAGAAGAAGAAAAACATCGGCTAAAAAACGGGAAATGAATAAAAGAAGAATTCTGCCAGGATGAATGAAGAAGAAAAATAAAGCAAAAAAGAAGAAAAAGGAAAAAAAAAAGGAAAGAAAAAAGAGGAAAAAGAAAGGAGAAAAAACAAAACTTGGAATTGAAACATTTAAAATAAGGGGGGAAAAAAAGAAAGCGACACAAAAAATCAAATGAAAATTACAAAACCGAAAAAGAAAAAAACCTTAAAGAAAACCTAAAGAAAAAAAAAGAAGTGAATGAAAGAGAAAAGTAGAAAAAGAAATGTGACGGTTACACACCTGGCCCAGTGTCGGATCCTTTGGTTACGGCGCCAACGGTGACGTCGCTCCTCCTGGTCGCTCCTCCTGGGTCCAAGCGTGCCGCTCCAACCCTTTGGTCAGATGATCACCAGCCTCGCCTTTCCCGACTCGCTTCCAATACCTGGTCACTAAAGCAACTATACCGATCTCCGGTCTGTCTACCCACGCTGTGTTTAGATCTTAGACAGACGGGACCAGCAGGGATCGGGGCCGATACAAGTTGAGTCCGACGGGGTGGCAAAACACAAATAAAATAAAAACTCACGACACCAAACAAAATTGCTGATAAAAAGGGTAACAACCTTTTATATCTTAAAGTCCGTTACATAAAAACAAAAGTGTTCTCATTTCCCGACCCGCTCTGTGGACTATGGCACCAAGCTTCTATCACACAATAGGAAAATGTCGAATTACCTACTTTCTAGAATCATGTATGTATGTCGGAGTGTGGTTCAGTTCGACACTGGGGCTAATTTCTATCGATCATTCGCAGTTGATTCTTCTCTTCGACTTGAGTTGTATTTCTTCTTCTTCTTCTGTTTGGGCTGGAAGAGTTTGTATTTCTCCAATTCTTTCTTCAGTGGAAGATTTCTACTTCGGCCGTGGCTTTGGAAGATTTCTTTCTTCAACTTGGGCTGGAAGTTTTCTTGTTCTTTCTTCTCGCTGCCGTCCGCCGTCCGGGGATGAACTCTCGCTTTGAAATTGTTTCATCAACTGCAGCTCCAATTCTCAATCTTCAGCATGAACTTGGGCTGAATTTCTTCCTTCTTCGACTTGGGCTCCAACTGATTCCTTTGTCTGAGGGTTCTTTTCTCCCGCAAAGGGCAAACCGGGCCGATGTGCCCGCGTTCAGGTGCCCGCGGTCGGCGTCAGGGGATTTTCGACTGGGGATAATTCAACAACTGGGGTGGGTCTGTCGGCGTCAGGGTTTATCTCGATAATTTTTGCATTAATTTTGACTTTCCATTATCGTTATTGTTTTCACCCCTACTTTCTCACAGTGCTCTTGGGGGGCGGCGCATATCTATTTCTCTTAGTCTCTCTCATGTCAGGTGATCGCTCTCAACCAATCGTTCCTGATCGAACCTTTCTTTCTCTTCTTTTCCGCAGCCCACGTGACCGCCTCGTCCAACAGTTATTGATCGAGGTTTTCTTTCCTTCTTCTTCCGCGGTCACGTGATTGTATTCGACCAATTGTTATTGACCGAACACCCTCTCCCTTTTGTTGGCGGGTGTGGTTACATCGTGCTGGTTTAAAAAAAAAACAAAATCCGATTTCGCACCTTTTTTGCACGTACGCAAAATGACAATCTTTGCCTTTCTCTCACCTGGACTTTGTCAAACAGCCCGCTGCTAATTAGTCTTGACTTTTAGAAAGGATCTTTTCCGCCTTCCTGGCGCCCTCTGTGAGTCCAAAAACAATTGTCTTCTTTTTACCTTTACCTCTTTGTTTTTTCCTGATAGTCGAAAATCTTAATTATCTAGGTTGAAATATCTCTACTTTATTAACGTGGGTGTCCAATTCTTAACAGGTCAATTCCGTATATCGTTTTTCACCAGTCACTTCCCCAACCCAAAAAGACACTTTTTCTCTGACTAAAAAATTTAAAATTCATTTCTATTATTCTAATTTAAAAGTTACCTTTCGTTATTTTGATAAGAATTTTTTTGACGAAAATGTCGGTCACATCAGCGACCGATATCTCAATTCTATTCTTTCAACAAAAATTAAGGTCAGTCAGAGGCTCTGACCGACATCTAAAAAAAATCACCCAACGGCCTGTTTTGATATCATGTCTTTTTTTCTTTTTCCCCCCCTTTTGTTATTATCTTTCTTTTTCTTTCTTTTTTTTTTTTCTTTTTTTTTGCTTTTAGGA